CTCTTACCCTCAATGATCAAGGATCTGGCATCCTCAAGGGGCCTTCGATGGTGTCTTCCACGTCTCGTCTCAATTTATCCCTTCCAGCACCTTCATTAGCAGCCCCCTGGAGGCATAGTCTCCAGGGCAGGGGAGTGGCTAGAAAGCAGTAGGCTAGGAAAGTTTGCAAGGATTGCTCTTGAGATGCAAATTTGCATATTCAGGTTCTCAGCATCTGCAGAGTCATGAGGGTGGCAGAGCAGGGCCCAGGAGGGCGGGCCTGACCGGCCTGACAGCTCTTGTCCTCAGCCTAGCATGGCATTGTGCCTAGGGGGACAAGACAGCCTGCCAGTCACCCAGAGATTGGCCTTCATCCTTCTCTTAACCCATTTCCCTGCCTCCATCACTCTTCCTGAATTTAGTTTAACCTAGGTTTCCTCTCTGAATCTTCACCTACCTGACCATTTTCTTCTAATTCACCCAGTCAGTATGTCTCAGGGTTGCAAAGATAGCTCAGTGGTTAAGTGCATGGGCTGTTTTCCCAGACATCCTGAGTTTGAGGGCCAGCACCCATGTCAGATGGTGCATTCCCACTTGTTCCTGGTGCATCCAACACTTCTAGGCTACACAGGCACCCCCTCATGATTAAAAATAAAATATTTTTTTTATTTTGTTTTGGTTTTTTGAGACAGGGTTTCTCTGTGTAACAGCCTTGGCTGCCCTGAAACTTGCTTTGTAGACCAGGCTGGCCTCAAACTCTCAGAAATCTGCTTGCTTCTACCTCCCAAGTGCTGGCATTAAAGTTGTAGACCACCACATCCAGCTAAAAATGAAATAAATCTTTAAAAAAAACCCCAAACCAAAGAGTTAGCCAGGTGTGTGAGTTGGCACACACCTTCAGTCCCAGTACTTAGGAGGCAGAGGCAGGCGTTATCTATGAGTTGGAGACCAGCATGGTCTGCAGAGTGAGTGCCAGGATAGCCAGGACTACACAGAGAAACCCTGTCTCGAACAAACAAATGCAAAGACTCATGTTTCAAGTGTTTCCTTGATTTCAGGTACCATGGCAGGAAATGGGGAGAAGCCCAAACCAAATAAATTACAGACTACATATCAAGTAGGGTAAATGGACACAAAGCAATGATGTTGACTCTAGTGCTGAGAACCATTTATAGTTAAATTCAGCCTTCTTGAAAAAAGCCTGTTTTTGTTTTTGTTTTTGTTTTTCCTGGGAATCAAATCCAGGGCTTAAACTCTAGTAGGCAAGACTGTACCACTCCAGCCTCAGACCCCTGTACTTCTTCATGTCTTCTCCCCTGGCTTATTCTCCCCCCCTCCTTCAACACTTATCACCACTTAATGTTATTTAATTTCTTTGGCTGTTATGTAATGCTATCTACTTCCCTCATTAGAATGTTAGTTCCATGAGTGCACAGTTTGTTTTGGTTACACCATGTTCTCCAAGCTGGATACAGAGCTGGGCATGCAGCAGGGGCTGATGAATGAAGAAAATGCACATGGTATCATCCCAAAGGCAAGCAAGAGATGCTGCCAGGCTCGATGAGGCATGGTGGGGAGCACCGGGTGACATAAGCAGATTTGAGTCATGAAAAAGTCA